TGAGGAATTAGTCTGCAGTCTTCCTCCCTGCTCCAAAGTTCTGTACACAGCTTCCTCCCCCAGACTGCTGATGGGGTGAGGTTTGTCACGCCCTCCTCTGCTATATAACATACATGAAATCTACTATATAATATTGTTTGATGAGGTAGAGAGAGAGAGAGGATACAAAGGAGAGCTCCAGTTCTAAAAACAGTCCAAGCTGGAGGCAGAGGAACCTGGGGGTGGCAGTTCAGAGATGCAGAGGGCTTGGCTGTAGGGGACTAGGTATGGGTAGGTCAGTGTTTACATTTACCACTGGATACCATCTCCCACAGTCACCTGTCATGGCGTCCTACCTGCCTCATGGCTACAGGTCATCGTTCGCCAAATCCTACCCAACCTTTCAAAATATTTTGGAAAGGCCTCTGAAAATGTATCTCCTTGCTTCGGGGTTATGCTGTGCTCCTGATCAAAAATATTAGCCTCCTGATTCTCCCCCTGAATCCTTTACTTTGCTCCTCTCCAAATGACATTTGGCTCTTGCTAAGACTCTGATCCATGGTCAAAGGATGAAGATTCGCCACTCTGGAAGTAATTCTCTTGAAAAGGCTGTGAAGGCAATTCCAAAGAAGAACTGTCTATGGCGACATTGTTGAAATCAGCGCACAGTCTTCCAGGGTGACTGCCCTAAAGGGCAGCACTAATTCTGGCTTTTAAGTGTTTCTCTGCTTGTTAAAAAGTCAGCCTCCTTACTTTAAAGTCCCAGCTCACAGTGCTAAAGTGTTTTCCTAAAACCTCCATAAATTCTTCTTTCCCTTTGATACTGGGGCAAGCCACCATTTCCTTCCCTACACAAACTAAGGGACATGTTTGTGGAGGAAGAGGGAGGGAAAATAATTTCTCTGGTTCCTCCTTCGAGAATCATGACCCCCAAGCACGCTTTTCAATGCCTTGCTAGGTAGGAGCTCTTAGAAATGAGGCAAATGTCTCATTTGACGGGTGCTTGTGTTCCCCCTCCCAAAAATGATGAATGGCCCCAAAACTACAGAAGCCATTTATCTCCTTGCCACAGGGAATAAAGCTGCTCTGCTTTATTTCCACCATCTGTGGAGGTATAAACCGTGTGGTGGCAGCTGTATGTGGCTGAAGAGTAACGTGGCTTCCCCCTCTGCTGCGAAGGCCATCTTGTAACATAGGGGAATGGGCTGGGATGCATGACTGGGGCTAGAAGGGAGGGCAGGCAGGGAAGACACATTTGTTTGTTTGTTTGTTTGTTTGTTTTTGAGAGAGAGGCAGGAGGGGCCAGGAGCAGAGGGGGAGGGAGAGAGAATTTTAAGCAGGCTCCACGCCCAGCACGAAGCCTGACTTGGGCCTCCATCTCCCAATCACAAGATCAGGACCTGAGCCAAAATCACAAGTCAGACGCTTAACTGACTGAGGCACTCAGGCGTCCCAGCAAAGACACACTTTTGATTCACGCCGTTGTGTTTGGTTTCCATGCATTACCCAGCGAACCCAGGGGAACACGCTGGAACACCTGGTGAGATTCTTAAAGAATGGACAGTTCAGAAAAAAAGTCAAGCTCCAGGCTGCTGCATCAGTTGGTCATACAAACCCAGAGCTGGCCAGGTGGCATGGCTCAAGTTATTAGTGAGGAGCTCCAGTCATGTCCGGACAGCCGGGCCTCTAAATTCCTGTTCTCATTCCAGCACACACCTTGGCGAGGCATGTCACAGCGGCCAAGTATGGAGCGTGCACAAGGTCGATGCTCTGTTGGTCCATGTGGATTTGGAATTTTTTTTTTTTCATTTCTTAAAAACTATGTATCACCTTATATTGGAAAACATAGGAAGCATCTGGGAGGTGGGGCTTCTCTCTGCGCACTTCCCGGGTCACCAAACACTGCCACAGTAGTGGCCACACTGCCTGACCCTTGTCCCTCGGCCCCACTGCCAGGTACTGCTGGGTGAAATCACCAGAGTCCAAATGATGCCTCTGGGGGGGATGGGGACGCAGGGGCTGAGGCTGGGGAGAGTATAACAAGATGATCTGAGAGCCCCATTAGCCCCGTTAACTTTTTCCATTTTAATGATATTTCTGGATGCGGCACCAGCTCTCTCGGGAGGTCAATTCGAAGGCATTCCATGGAGCCCAGAGCCAGCTGTGAAAGGCCAGCTTGGGGCAGAGCTGCTGGGGAAAGAGCTGTGCTTGAATTTCCAGTTGTTCCAAGTGCCGATTCACAAGGCCACAGTTAGGGAAGGAGGCTACCTCTTTACTCCCCCGTCCCACACAGAACACAGAATGGAATGACCTCAGAATACTCTCTACTTCCTAATGGTTTGAGAACCAGGATTTCTTGCTTATTAATACTTAGGAAATATTAACAATCCAAAATGAGGGCTCAGAGGGGTTGAGTCCATTTACAGTGATCACATGGGTGGGAGGCAGTAGAGCTGGAAGAGCTCAGAGGCAGATCTGGTGTATATCAAGCCCATGTTTTTCTCCCCTCCCTGCCCCCCAACTCCCCAGTGTACTAGCACAGGACAAGTGTCTGGGGCTGCAAAGGTGAATGAGACATAGCCCTGATTCCCAGGAGCTCGGACAGGGACAATGTAGGGAGTGCCCATCCTGTTAGAGACTCATCTTGGTCCTCTGCAAGGTCCCTCAGTGACAGAGCCTCTTTATACATCAGGGTCCGCACTTACAAGCTGGGGAATCGTGTCTAGCCTCAACTAGAACATTCCCTTCCATATGCTCAAGGGTTTACAAAATATCCCAGGGCCCTTGGCACTATGTCAATATGGAGTGTCAGTCCCCCTATGGATGGATTACCCATTACTACTACCACTTAGAACATTTAAGTTGGATGCCCTGTGCAGTAGTGAAAGAAATTTGACTGGTAAGTACAGTGAGTTCAGACCAGCTTCCACAACACAAACTGGTGGGGGGCTGAGGTAACCAGAGGTGTAAAGATTCTGAAGTCCTGCTCTTAACTTGAGTTGTGCTAATAAGGAAAAGACCTAATGGAATCCCAAGAAAAATGGAAAGGCAGTAGAGGGAACTCTTCCTAGCGAGATGCAGCGCTAGGCAAAATACATACATGACAATCACTGTGTGGAAGACATCGGCCAACTCTTTGGCCACACTGTTTTCCGTCTCCTGATTTCAGTTCACACAGCAGGGCTAGCCAGCTGCTTAACAGCTGCCCAGCTACATCCCGCGGCAGGTAACACTGCCCCTGGGCAGAGCGTGCACTGAACCAAAACAATAAACTCCAGGCCTGCCTCCCACCGGAGACGGCAGACGTCAGAGGGGCTCTGGCTCAGCGTGCCACAGGAGGGCTGTGCAGAAGGAGAGTCTGGTCAAGGCTCTGGAAAGCCCTGCGGAGTCTGTGGGGAACAATAAGAATGCAGAATCTAAATGTGAGCTGCAGGCTGATGGGTCCATTAGGAATTAGGGGCGTCTTTGAAAGGAATCTGCGGAGATGATGCAAAACACCAAGCATGTGACCCACATCGTGGCGGGGCATACTGGAGGGAGAAGGGACTGGGAATGAGACATTTTCTAATCTGACTAGTCTGAAGCTTCCCCTCAGTGAGGAGCAGGGTCACTGCACAATTAGAGGCAGAGTTAGACTGAACAGAGCCTGCTTAGCAACTCAGGGGGATGACCTCCACAAAGCTACATGGGGCTTGGAGGCGGACACGCGCTGAGCCTGGGATGTCTCCGAAGCGAATCACGGAATGGCCTTTCTGCCTTTCATGTCAAATCGTAAAGGCAAAGACGAAACAGTCTGCTGAGAAAAGGAGAGGATGAGGACTTGGTGGCCTCGGTGTTAGAGAGGAAACATCTAGGTCCTCCAGAGGCCAGGCTCCCACATCACTGGACTTTCCAGGACAACACAACCCTGGGGCCATAAGAGATAATCTAATAAATATCCACAGCTTCCTGACTGGAGACGCTTAATGTGCGAAACGCCTTCAGATCCAAATGTTTGAAAACAAGGCTTCCTCTGTGTAGAAGGACACAAGTTTCTTCCAGTTCATTTCTAAGTCAGGGTGTGTGGTCTGTGGTCCCTGACTTCAACTTCTCTCCTAGGCCCCAATCACCACCTAGTACCAGGTGCTGCGCTGGGTACTTTATAGACGTTATCTTAAGTCACCCTCAGAACTTCCAGGAAGGAGGTATTATATCATTTCAGAGGTAAGGAATTGGAGGGTTGGGCAGGTCAGTCACAGCTTTTCTCAGAAGACTGGGCGACTTTGGGCAAAACACCTCATCTCCCTAAACCTCAGCCTCCTCAGGTGAGGCAAGATGATATGAGTTGTAACTCATAAAGTAGTTCTCACAAAGCAACTGAGGTGAGGTCTTCTGTGAATGACGACAATGCCTAGAACATAGTCCAAAATGTCAGACTTACCAAGATAAGTGAGTCAGAGGCGGGGCTGGGGATAATGTCATAGAAGCCAAAAACGATGACCAGAGTCTGCATATCTATGAGGGTGGTGCCAGAAGTCAAAAGTAAACGTTCAACAGGAGGGCCCAGTGCTTTAGAAAGCAGTTCACTGTGCTTTCCTTTTGCAACATCACAAAGTTCACACTTTACATCTGGTGTTCTAGTAGGACAGAGCCCTGTGTGATAACACTAGGCCCTCTTCCTGCATGTCTTTAGCCAGCAGGAACTACTGCTTTGAAAAACCAGTCCTGAATTTTAGATCTAATACCCTCATAACCAATGAAGTTAGATATCTTCATTTTGTCCCAGGAACCTGTGTATACATATGTGTGTGTGTGTGTCTTAACACTAAAAAGATAAAATAGCAATTCATAGTAGGCTAACATTCAAAATCATGCCCAGCTTTTCCTTTTGTAACACTTAAATGGAGATGTGTTATCAATAACATAATCAAAGCAGTCAAGGGTAAATCAAGGATATTTAAAGGTCAATGTACAACCAGGAATAGTTCCCCCAAACAAAAATATGCAGGACAAACCCCCTGAGGGTTGGAGCTCTTGCTTACCCAGAGAGTATGGATGCCAGAAGATCATCGGTCAAAGGTAACCTGGAGGACTTGCACAGCCTTCTGATGTATTTGCTGGGTAATACTTTTTTTCTGCATTAAAACAAAGTAAACAGGTCTTTCTATATTTTGTGTCTCTTGAGTCACAATTACATGCTATAGGAAAGAAAATACAGATGTGTCCTTAAAGTCTGCACATGAAAATGAGTACGAAAATTGGTACTGGAACTCACAGTAAGGAAAAACAGTCATATTGCTTTTCACCGACTTTTTCCATTTCAGAAGTGACCAGATTCTGTCCTTCCAAAGGCCTTTCCATCAAGATTCAGACTCTCGGTTGGTGATAGTACAGCACTTTAAGGGTGCAGCCACGAGAGTTGCTCTAAGTAATCGATCTGCCTTCTTGACCACTAGTCAAAACTGGTTCTGATATTTGAAAACATCTCTTAATTTGACAGGCATCTAGAGCCTCCAACGCAAGTATTATATGACTTGAGGGTGTTTTTCGAGTCTTTTCCTTGGACCCAAACCTTGTAACCTTGAGGCCCCAGTTGGGGCTTTAACATTCACCTCAATTTTGTCAGATGGTTTCTCCAGAGCAGCTCAACAGCCATTTTCCCCAGCCTGCCAGGGGCACAGAAATGCTTGTCCAATGTTCTCATTCAGCCAGTGTTCCCAGGCACCAGGCAAAATCAGAACCAGTAAGAAGGAAAGAGAGCTGCTTTATGCACACTGAGTTTACAAGATGATGGGAGAATGTTTGTGTCTAGAACTGAAGCCTGTCAGATCTGGAAGAACCTCAGAGCTGTCTGATCAAGGAGCCCCATCATTCCCAGGAGGTGTTCCTTTAGTAAAGGAGGGTCACACTTCTCACCCTGGGCAAGGGGTACCACCAGAGTGGAAGGCAGGGCTGGGGTCATGCAAAGCTCAGGCCATACAGCCTCGGGAGGCTCCAGAAAGTTTTAAAAGATTCAAGGAAAAATACCACCTTTACAAAAACTCAACAACTATGTGTTATGGATTAGGCAAAACAATCATGTTCAACATTAAGATAAACTATAGGTCTTTAAAGATATTTAGGGGAGGCAAGCTGGCCACTTGGGTACAAACTTCGGGTCTGGGGGTGATGGGAGGGGTCATGGGGCAAAGAAACATCAGTGGTTCATAGTAGGAAAACTAGAGGCTAGAGTTAGGAGTAAGATTTTCTAACTCCTGGTGAATATTTCCCCCCAGAGTATCAAGTCTGTGGGTAAGATGAATACCAAAACTTATTAAGATGGGGCTCCAGTTTATAAAAATGATTTAATAAAGAGTAATAGAAACATGGCAAATGTACTAGAAATTGATTATGCTGAGCTTCCATATTTTCAAGAAGAAATAATTTCAAAGAAATTCTAAATAAAGTTTACTTGTAAATTCCCTGTGTTCTGTATTAGCAAAGACACATTTATAAATCCCGGTGATCACAAACTAATGTAAGAAAAGATATTTCAGGATTAAACCTTCTAACATCTGGATTTACTATGCTTCAGTTGAAAGCCTCTAGAAACCAATTAAAAGGAAATGGAAAGGGGCATCTTATCTTTTTGAAGATACAAGGGCCTTCCCTATTCCATCAACAAACAAAGCCTCACCATCATGATGAAATATCAGTACCAAATACCTCCCCAAAATGATTTAAAGTACATTTGGAAAAAAAAAAATGAGTGCTGTGTACAACCCAGACTTAAAAAAAAAAAAGAAAATTTTTAATCATTTTGGCAATTTCTGTAAGAATGTTGCTGGGATTTTTGTGATAACCATGTTTTATTGATACCAATGTGAGTAAAGTTGACATTTTAGCAAAAAAAAAAAAAAAATCAAAACTAGTTTTGTAATAATACTTAGGCATTTTCCACTGGGTGGACGTTTGTACTAATGGTACAAAAACACCGGTGGGTAAAATTGCTGGAATCAAGACAGTGACACCAAATTAAATTCATCACCACAGTTTTTCTCTAAAAAAAAGCCAGGTCCACGTAAGCCCTTCGCTTCATTGTTGAAGCAGTAACAATACTGACCTTATTAAATATCAACCCTTGAGTGCACAACTTTTTAATATTCTGTGTGATAAAAATAAAGTTTGTTTAAAAAAAAATAAAGTACATTTGGTCTATAGTGGAGTATAGTGGGACATCTCACTGTTCTTTTTGCCCTACTGGATAAAATATAAATTCCTTCATTACTCAGGTCTGCAGAACTTTACATGATTTACTGAAATTGATAAAATGAAAGCTTACTTTTCTCGGTCTTGGTATACACAAATAGCATTGAGTCTTTCAAAATTCTCAAAAGCTTTTTTCTTGAGCTGTTCATGGGCCCGTGCAATTAGGACATTCATATCAGGCCTCGTGTCCTCGGGCACCTGGTAGTGACGGGCAAGGGTTATAACTTCATGGTCTGTGAGTTTCCCAACAGTCAGACTCATTATGATGTCTCTGTAAAGAAAATGAGAAATTGCTCATGAAATTACATCTAAGAACACTTCACTCTCTTTCTATTAAAAATGTCTAAATTCCAGGGCACTTGGGTGGCTCATTGGTTAAGTGTCTGTCTTCAGCTCAGGTCATTTCTTCAGGTCCTGGGACTGAGCCCCATGTCGGGTTCCCGGCTCAGCATGGAGTCTGCTTCTCCATCTCCCTCTGCCTTTCCTCCTGCTTATACTCTATCTCTCCCTCAAATGCATAAATAAAATCTTTTAAGAAAACAATCCAAATTCCATTTTGTAAAACTTTTATCAACTGCATAGAGGACAGATGACTATTTTCCTTTAATTTAATTGCTACTTCACTTAGGAGTAGTAGGAAAATACCAGGGCTAGAAGGGAAAACCATAAGCACTATAGTTTCTAAATAAAATGGCATCTTGCCCAGAGTCAAACTTCTACCAGATAAGAGCCTGTAACCGGACAGTAAGTCTTTTAAAGTCCTTGAATGGTCAAAAAACCTGTCACCAGACACATGATTTCATTCAATGCCTATTAATCTTACTTTACACAGAATAGTAACAGACTTGGGGTTCTGGCTTCCCATGGTATAAAATTTATAAATCAGCACGTTTGGAAAGTCTTTTTGAGTTGGAGAATGCAATCAGAAACATTTATGCAGTTAAAATCTAAGACTGACACACCCTGCCAGTGAGGAAAAAGTGAGAGAAGAGAGTAAAAAGTGAAGAGTTGTGTAGAGCAATCGTTGTCTGAGTCTTACGAAGGCAAATGGAACAAAAATTATGTGGCAGAGAAAAAAAAAAAAAAAAAAGACAGCAATGACACATTAACAACGAGGACTCAAAACCTAACAAATTCGTGGGACTGTTTTCAATACAGTCTCTATATCAAAGTGATAAACCATGCAGCATGAGTAAGAAAGAAGGACATCAAAATAGTTAAAATAGCAACTGTTGCAGTGGTTACCTGAATAAGCTTCCACCATTGAGAAACTCTATTTACGGAGAGTAATTCAGTTCCCAAGAATCCCAGCTAAGTGACCAAAGACAAGATTTTATTTTCTCTTTGGCTATAGACTTGTCTTTTGGAATAATGGCTTTTAGTGCTTTTATGTATTTCTTGTCATTATCACGATCATTGAAGATCTCTGAGCTCTCCTAGTCAAGAATTTCCTTAGCATGTAGGAAAACCCATGGCTATGATGTTGACATATCTGAAGAAATTGCATTTCACCTATATCCACTTCTTAGGGTTTCTGGGTTTTTTTTGTTTTGTTTTCCTTTTGTTTATTTATTTTTTTAAATGGGAAATCAAGACCAACCAAATTCAAACAAGAGGATCCCACAATTGCATCAGGTCGGTTTGGATCAGACCATCAATCACCAATATTAGCTGGGGGTTCCCTGTGTAGGAAACACTGTATAGTCACTTGGGCATCTGAGCTTTTCAGAGTCTCTAACCTATTACAGGCATCCCGGCACACACAGATGAGCTCCCAATGCCATACACCAGGAGGGTTGCTTGAGTGAATTGAGTAATAATAATAACCCTTGCCTTTCAGGGAGTACTAGCTGGGTGCCAGTTGCTGTGCTGCTAGGGACTTCTGGCACAGATCATCTCATTTGGCCTACAGGATAAGGACTATTATTTTTTTTAAGATTTTATTTATTTGATATAGAGAGAGAGTGCGAGCACGCAAGCAGGGTCAACAGCAGAGGGAGAAGTAGGCTCTCAGCTAAGCAGGGAGCCTGATGCATGGCTTAATCCCAGGACCCCGGGATCATGACCTGAGCCAAAGGCAGACACTTAACCAACTGAGCCACCCAGGCGCCCTGATAGGGACCACTATTATCATCCCCGTTTTATAGATGAGAACACAGAGGCACTGAGTATGCCCAACCTCCCGAAAGCCAGAATGAGAACCCCTGCAGTCTGGCTCCAAGCCCGTGCGCTCACATACTCTTCTGTCCCTCTTCTGTTGGAACACAGAAGACAGAATGAGTGGATAGAGTGGGGCTCAGTCAGGGCAAGTTGCCTAAAGGTTGTAGGTTTTGAGCTGTTTGTTTACAGACCTCTATTCCCTTTATTGCCTATGACCTCTGCTTTGAGAGCTATCATTGATCAGCATAAACAGGTAATAGAAAATAATTTCAGAAACCCTGAGTCACCAACCATGAGAAAGGACTAAGCGACCACAGAGGAACCACTTCATGAAAGCCCCAGGCTCATTTAGAACACTGGTCATGGAAAAATCAGTCATGACACGTGCATAAAATGGAACGCTATGCAACCATGAAGAGTATGTTATTGATTGGTATTTACTGGCATGAGAGGTACCCATGCTATATTGATAAATTCAGTTTCAGGATTCCCACTGGAACTGAAGGTACTAGTACCCCTATATTCATAAGTGAAACAGGGGAGGGGGATTAAGGAGGGCACTTGTGATAAGCACCAGGTGATATAAGAAAGGACTGGATTGCTATTGTCCACCTGAAACTAATATGACACTGTATGTTAACTGGAATTTTTTTTAAAGATTTTATTTATTTATTTGAGAGACAGCAAGAGCAAGCGAGAGAGGGAGAGAAGGCGAGAGGGGCAGAGGGAGAGGGAGAAGGAAACTCCCCATTAAGCAGGGAGCCCAATGTGGGACTCGATCCCAGGACCCTGGGATCACAACCTGAGCCAAAGGCAGATGCTTAACCCACTGAGCCACCCAGGCACCCAACTAACTGGAATTTAAATACAAACTTTAAAAAAAAGACAAAGGAAACATGCCAAATATCTGTATTATCCCTGATCTCTGAGATTTCTTTATACAGACACACGTGTATATATGAGAGTTTCTGTTCTTTCTGAACTTCTGTAATAAACAACTATTATTTTCACTGTCATCATTAAAAAAAAAAAAACCCTTTGAGAGCTTTTTCCTTTTGAGGCTAGAAACAGTGTGAAGAAGGACAAGTGGTACACTTGCAAAGACAAGGGACAAGAACATGGGCAGCATTAACTAGAAACTTCCCACCTACCTTTCACTAAACTTATTCTAGCACCCCAAGGTCATAAAAGTTTATTTTTCCTTTTCAGTGGATAAGCTTAAATTGTCCTGGCCTCATTGCGGTTCAAGTTTCTATCTGCTAGATCTCTGCAGGTTTGGGTTTTAAACAGCTCAGTAACCGCCCCACTTCCAATGTCTTTAATGTGAAGGTTTCAAACAAGCTGCCCCAGACTTAAAATGGCCCCTAGTCACACGGGACACCAGGGGCCCTGGGGTGGATGTTGGTGTGGCAGTTGTGCCCACTGTCCCCACGTGAGGCAGGGTCCCAGGACTGGGGACCCCAACCAGGAAGTGGAAGACTTGTCCTGCAGAGCTCAAGTGGCCGCCATTACTCTGCCCTGCCTTTGCCATGTGCCCCCTTCTTTAGGAGTCAAACTTGAATGGGCTTCACCAAGAACAAGGGATCTTCTCACCCCGCCTTATTTTGGATTGTGGTAAAAACAGCCGGAACATACAACGTACCGCCGGTTGCATTTAACACATTCACAGTGCTGGGCAACTGCCACATCTGTCTCTTACAAAACATTTTCATTACTTTCCTTTCTTCCTTCTTCTCTGCCCTCTCCCCACCTGGCAACCACTAATCTGTTTACCATCTCTGCAGATTGGTGGTTCTGGATATTTCCTAGAAAAGGAATCATGGAGAAGTGTCTTTTGTGTCTGGCTTTTTCTGCTTGGCACAATGTTTTCGCGCTCACATCCAGGCTGTATCAGTACTTCATTCCTCTTTGGGCCTGAGTTATATTCCATTGTATGAATGTGCCACATTTGGGGTATCTCTTGTGCATCGATGGACGTTTGCGTTGTTTCCACCCTTGGGCTCTTGTGAATAGTGCTGCTGTGAACATTCATGTACAAGTTTGAGTTTGGATGCCTGTTTTCAATTTTGGGGGTGTATCCATTCAGGAGTAAAACTGCTGGGTCACTTAGGAATTCTGTATTTAACCTAGTGAGGACCCACCACACGGTTTTCTGCATATTCTATTTTTGCTAGCAACAGTCACAAAAACAAAGATCCAACTTCCATCACACATAGCCTTTCCTCACTTAAACCTTCAAAGTGAACCTGAAATATGACCTGAGAGCAAAGTCTGATCTTAGTGCTTCCTGCCCCTTCATTTAAGGGAAATGAAAATTCATTTTAAAAGGAGCTTTCAGGGGTGCCTGGGTGGCTCAGTGGGTTAAATAAAGCCTCTGCCTTCGGCTCAGGTCATGACCCCAGGGTCCTGGGATTGAGCCCCACATCGGGCTCTCTGCTCAGCAGGGAGCCTGCTTCCCTTCCTCTCTCTCTGCCTGCCTCTCTGCCTACTTGTGATCTCTCTCTGTCAAATAAATAAATAAAATCTTAAAAAAAAAAGGAGCTCTCATTGTACTTATCTGGTGTTCTGTGATTACTAGTGCTGATCTTAAAAACTCAAAATGGCAATCATCTTTGCCTTTACTCAGCATTGTACTATGTTCCTGGCAATAATATTTTATATGGATCATCACAGTATTATTTGGTTAATCCTTTAAGGGATGATGCCATGATTTTCTCTTAGTTTTTGTAACTAAAGTCATAAGAGTCAAAAAATAATGCCAAACTGCTCGAGGGTATTGAAGTAACCAGGCAGAATTCTGACACATGAAATGCTAAGCAGTTTTACAAGATATAATTCCATTAAAGTCACCCACTCAAGTAACAGTGAATAAAAACTTCAGTTTAAAGCTCTGAATCTCAGGGTATTTCCTTATACGTTGAATCGGTAAAGTCTAAACAAGAACTTTCCTACCAACTTAAAAAAAAATTAGCTTCAACGTAAACAAGGGCTCAAGAATTGAAGCTCTATGCTGTAAGGCTTATAAGAAAATCTGGTTCAGCCTAAATTAAACCAAGCAGCAATTTTGATGACAATTTACTAATCAGAAGCCAGACATACATGCTCATGTTC